AATGGGTATTATATTATTGACATGACGTTTTTGCGCCGCTTGCAGTCGGGGTCAGTGGCGGCTCTAGGATATAATTTTTGGTTTTTATTGAGTGGTAAAACAAAGCAACCTTTGATTTTGGAACTAACATATTTTATTACCAATATTTATAATTTTATTTAAAATGTTTGTCAATGTCAACCTAAATTATGCTACATTATGCTACGTTTTGGTAAAATTATGCGTAGCATAATGCTAAATGCTACAGGGGTCTAAATTATGCTACAAAATCTACACAAGCGCGCATAAATGCTACGACGGTGTGGTCACGCTGTTGACCTCTGAAAACTTTGACCTTTTGTTAACTGAAGCGTTACACAGGTCGCCTACAAAAAACATGGGAACTGTCCATGCGAAGGTATGATTTACTGAATTTTATAACTAGAAAGCATACCCTCATATATGCAAATTGTTTCATTACTAATACAATTACATCACAGAAATATCGGTTTTAAAAATTTTGCCTCTTTTTAAAAATTAACTAGCCCTGGGACCGGGCCTGACCTAGCTAGCTGACCTAGCCTAGCTTAGCTAGTAGGGTCTTATTAGGCCGGCCTCCCTAGCCAGACTAGCCTAGAGGCTAGCCTAGGCCCTAGGCCTAGCGTTTGGCTCTCCTCTAGTGATAGGCTAGGGAATTAGGGGACTTAGACCGGCTAGGTCTCGCTCACCTGGAGTGGGCTAGTCGGCGTACTGTGTAGGGCCTCTAAAACAGTATGCCTAGACCTGACATTGTACAGAAAGATGTACCCAGGTTTGGAGCAGCCTACATGTAGTACATCCTTACTTTACTCCCGAGTCCCATTTTATTTTAGTTCTTGTCATAACTCAGCTGCTCTTTCTGTAATACACCTTTTTCATGCTGCAGTATGGTAGACATGTTAGATCGATGACAGACAATGCTGAGAAGCGAAGCATAACCAACAAAGATAACATAGCGTTTCAGCCATATTTTCGGAGGTGATGTTAAAAAATCATAACTCCTTAACAGAGGGTCGTATCAGCTTTATTTTTCCTTAAAATGTTCGCAAAGGATAGATCTACGTACTGTATGAATTTTTAAAAATTGAAAATTTGTTTAGTCTGTCAAAACTTATGTCAAAAAATTACGTTGATACGACCCTCCATTAAGGATTTTTTATTTTTTAAGTAATACGACCTCCAAAAAATATAGCTGAAATGCGGTGTTATTTCTGTTGGTTACACTTCACTGCTCAGCATTTTTTGTCATCGGTCGAACATGTCTACCGGAGCGTGAAAAAGGTGTATTAATAGTAATTAATAATCATATTCTTATTATGATGGTGAGGGAGTGCATTTCCTTTCTTTTTGTGAATCATTTATATGGTATATGATCTTGATCAAAATTTATTCTTCACAACTCTGTGAGTTCTTGATATTAGTACTTTTAAGTTGTAAATGATCAAGAGATAATATGAATGTTATGCCCTTTATTGAAATTCAGGAGCCATCGTCGATGTTACCACCACCCACGGACACAATGGAATCCGAACACCATCACCCTCGTGTGCAGAAGCATGTATTCAAGGGTACAACTCCTGTAAGTCCTTATCATTTAAGCATTTATCAAGGTGTAATTTTCCTAGTGAGTCTTTGCCATTCGTTTATTTTTTATAGAATTTATTTACAGTATTTTATAATGGTAATCAGGACTAAATAAAATATTTCATATCAATTTATTTTGATAGTATTCTTGATAACGTATAAAATATTTTTGGAGTTCCTTAATAATGTATTATTGTTTTATATCTTTATATATTCAATTTATAATTTGATTTATATTTTTAGTTGTTTCAAATATTTAATATAATCAGCTTTATAGGTGTTTTTATTGTATTTTCTATTGTTTTATTCTGTATGAATTGAGTGTAAAAATTGATCACCCCCAGCTATTATGAACCACTCTCACCAAAAAAAAAAACAGAGGAAAAAATAAACAGATGTAGAAACAGCACTTTCAAAGTTCATCAATATTACTTACTTAAAGATAAGAGGTGTGGGCATATCCTTGTT